TGGGCAAGTATCTAGTCCACTGGGCCCCTCCAGTGCTTTGGAAGCATCGGAGATGGAAGGCAGCTGTGTGGAGTCCCCAGCAACAAGCTGCAGAAACTGCTGAAGGGGACAGTGAATTATTTTAAGCCTGGTGGGCCCATGGCACTTCAGGCCATCAGAGCAGAGATGCAACATAGAGATGGACTCATGATCGAGGGGTGGACTTAACAATGGACACTATTGCCCAGGTTATTCACAAGTGTGAACACTGCACACAGTCTCTCCTGCTCTGAAAGACTGTTACAAGAGATGGAGCCTGGCATCATGGACCAGATGGACTCAGTAGCTTTATAGGGACTGTTCCATGCACTAAGATAAGAGTATATTGAAAATGTGGGATCTGAGCATGACGTGAATGGTATGGAATAAGGGGTGGATAATGTCCTGGGTTCAGCAGTAGCAGTCATGTTTCTCCTTCTTGGTAGCTGGTGTAGTGCAGTGTTTTGACTTTCAGCTCGGGAACAGAGCTGATAGAGATGTTTTGGTTTGGCCAAGGACTTTGTGAGCCTCATGCTCTGCCAGGGGGAAGGGGAAGCCAGGAGGAAGCAGAGACAGGACACCTGACCCAAACTGACCAAAGAGGTATTCCATACCACAGCACGTCATGCCCAGGATGTAACTGGGAGTGAGCCGGAAGGGCTGGGAGACTGCAGGGTTGGAGGAGGTATCGGTCGGAGCTTGGTCGGGCTTGGGGGGCGAGTGATCGGTCGGTTGGTGCTGAGGTGTTGTATTCTCTTCCCTTGTTATTTCCTTTATCATTATTATCATTGGTGGTAGCAGTAGTGATCTGTGTTATACCTTAGTTACTAAATTGTTCTTATCTCAACCTGTGGGAGTTGCATTCTTTTCGATTCTCCTCTCCATCCCTCCGAGAGCAGGGGGAGGGCAAGAAAGGGGGGGAAGTGAGTGAACGAATTACCTGACTGGGTTTAAACCACGACAGATTCTGTGAATTGAAAAGCATAGAAAAACTACTTGTCAGTCAATTTAGTTGCAACCTATATGTGATTTTTCAGGCCATAAACACTTAAGCAAATAATTTAACCCATGGAGGTCCTATTCAGGTCAATTAGATTAATGTTACACATGTCACTTGATTAAACACCGTGAAGTTTTGCAGGTTCTTCAACAAAACTGTATGGTAACTAACACAATGTTATAGTATTTGAAAAGATGATTAATAGGTAACTTTGGAGCTTTGCATTTGCAGAATTTTCTTTAGGGAAGCTAGAGTTAAGCAGTTTGGATACTTTGTAGGTTCTGGTTTTTACTAGTCCTTGGAAAATCTACTCAGCTTCTATTACTCCAGTGGAACAACTGATATGCCTATAAAAACATGAGTTCACACATATATTAATACAATAGTTTCCCTCCTCTGACTCAGATTTTGCTTATCTTACAAAAACCTTGTGCCCTACAGATCCAGGTGGGTAGGCAGAGAAGAACAGTGTTTCCCACAGTGTATTTATCTACTTGATGTTGCTGCCCAAATGCTAGTGAAGGTTCAGGTTTACTCATCCCTTGAGAACTGTTACTCTTGGACTATCAAAATACATGCTGACCAGTCCAAAGCCCAGATGGCAAGAACGGCCCAAGTACCATGTGCTGTGTCAATGCTGTGAGACTGAGAGGCGTAGGAGACTTACACTGAAGAGTTAACTGGAACTCCAGGTGGTATCACACAAAGGTGGAGTAGAGGGGGAGAGTCCACTCCCTCAACCTGCTGCTCATGCTGCTTTGATGCAGCCCGGGATCCAGTTGATGTTGCCAGGTTATGTTGAGCTTCTCATCAGGCAGCACCCCCAAGGCCTTTTCTTTCCCCTTCCCCTGTATTTGTGCTTGGGATTGCACTGACCCAAGGCGCTTTGCCTTGTAGAACTTCAAGAGTCGTTTCTGTTCCCTTCCCTCTGTCCTCCCTATCCGTGCACACTCTGGGGCCAAACCAGCATCTGCTGGAACTGTGAAGATCCACAGGCCTGATACAGCTACTCTCTGATCATTTGCCACTGCTGATAACCTGAGAATTGGACCCCGTAGCTTTTTATCTCCCCTCTTGAGTTAAACAGTGCATGAATACGCAGACTGTATGTACCACAGGGTACATACATGTATTTATCTGGAGACTGATACGATGTTAACGGTGCTATATTATAGTTTTTTATTTAGATGAATGACCACTGAGCTCTTACTGAGGATTAGAGAGGACTTATAAAATGAAACTTCCTCTGTGGAGTATAGAGTATATTTCTAAAAGAGCCTGAATGAACTTCAGAGGAAGATCTGATTCAAGAAACATGGCACACGTGAAGATAATAAAGGATTTCTTGGTAGTTCAACTCTACTGTGGGATTAAAACCTCATGGCATACATAGCAGCTCAGGTGATCGCTTGAGCTGCAATTAGACAGTAGAACAAGTACCCTCAGAATATTGTCTTTGTGTCAGAAATGCTCCTTCGTGCTTGAAAATGATAAAAAATGGCAATCGATCCTTACAACTGTTGTGTTCATCTTTATTGATCAGGGAAAAGAAAGATAAATCGCAGCCCAAATAAGATTATGGTAAATGTTAGCATGGTTGGGGACTGGAGGATGATAGAGAGCTATTCGTCATCTCAAACGGTGACCTGTCCACACTCACACCGTAGTCAGTCTGCTGTCTAATCGCATACCTATTGATTCCATCTACATGCAGGGAACCTGGACGTGACTGTCATTGGGCAGCTGAGATTGGTAAATGCGAGGGGGTCACTGGTGTGAGGAGGATTTCATTTTCATTTTCTTATTGGCCAACGATGATTTATGAAAAAATAAATGACCCCAAATTACACGTGTGGAAACCTCCATTCCAGTGCGAATGAATGATGAGGTCTGAACCTCCGAAACAGAGGTGCGGTGAGGCCACCGTGTTCTTTGTGATCTGTGCGTGACCTTTGCCTGCGGTGGATGTTACACAATTTGTTATAATTTGTGGTAAAATATGAGACTTGCAATGCAATTTTGTGTCTGGAGTTGGGAGTCTTTGTCAGGGAGTTCTGTGCGTACCAAGATGGGAATTCATGAAGGAGAAGAACCTCAGGAGATGTGATCCTCAAATGGAAAGGAAGAATGAGTTTTGCTTTTAGCTTTGTACGTAAAGCTGCCTTCTTTTGGAGTTCCCCTCAAGTGTTTCTGCTGTAGTGGGCTTTCTTAATTGCATTTCTCATAACATATTCTGGCACTGATACAGGGCAGGTTTACTAACCCAATGATAAGAAGACCGTGTCATCTTTGACTTTTACAAGACTGATCTCGCCAGTTACAGGGGGGGTTAATATGTTATTCCCTAACAGTGTTTTAGGCATGTTACTATTTCATACATCAACGTCTTTGATACATAAAACTGCTTATTTTACCCAAAATAAAATTGAAATTATGCTTTCCATGGTCTGCATTGTGCCATGCCTCTATGTGAAACGTTTTAAAGGTCAATGTTGTGGCATAAATAACTTTAATCCACGGTATAAAGAGGTAGGCTGTTAAAACAAGGATTCAGAATGGTCTTTATGTAATGAGTGTGACTGGAAGATTTTTGTTGCCATGTTAACATGGAATGCCAGGTGACTCAAGAGTAACAAAGCTATGGGTGAGTTCTTGCAAGTACCAATGAAACCTTTATACATCTCCACAACCTGTTTGCCCCACCACTGAAAAATGGGTTTAGAGAAGTTTTGAGCTGCTTTTATTCCTCCAGCTGTGAAGCCAGTTGCCTTAGTTATTACATCTTAAGTCCAACTGTGCTAAAGCCATGAAAACCTCATGAAAAATACCAAGTATATATTACCTAGACATGAAGCATCACAACATTACAGTGATTTCTCTTTGAATACAGAACCATAGAATCATTTAGGTTGGAAAAGATACTTATGATCATCAAGTCCAACCATTAACCTCACCCTGCCAAGTCCACCACTAAACCACATCCACTGGCTCATCTTTCAGTGCACAGGGATGATCTGCTCCTGTTTCTTGAAGACTTCCTCCTTGAAGAATGTCCAGCCTTCTTGGACTCCTTTACCTTTCAGGACTGCATCCCAAAGCACCCGGTATCCTATATCCCTGAGAAACTTTGCCATTTTTAAGTATTGAAAAGTTCTGTTGCTTGATGCTTCACTCTTGTCTTGCCTTGGTGGAACCGAGTGGAGGGCATTCCTGGCTTTAGGTGAGATGAAAATACGTCCTGAAACTGCCTGATTTTAAAAATTGACATTAGAAATGGACTGAAATGACCTAGAAGTTTGGAATATTAAAATAACTCACTGCAAGAGGCATTATCAAGGCAAAGAGCAAAAGAGAGAGTAAAGCCGTAGTTAATTTATTGCACAACTTTGACGACTGACTCGACTGTCAAATGCAAGCTAGGTAGAGATATATGTGTAAGTAACACAGACAGGAACATGCAGAGAAATAAGGATTTACTATTTTGATTGGGTTTTTTTCTAATGGAGAAGCTTGAAAAGCTCCAACAGCACCTAGTGCTAAATATGTGATTCTTACTCCTTGTCTCTTTATAGTTTCCTCCCTAAGAGCCATTTCTTTTGCATAACCTTCCAGACCCAAGAGGAAACACTGATTTCAACAAATACCACAATAAAACATCATTGAGGCATCATCCATGGACATAGCTAAAAGACATGTAGACACGGTGCTTAGGGACATGGTTTAGTGGTGGACTTGTCAGTGCTGGGTTAATGGTTGGACTCGGTGATCTTACAGGTCTTTTCCAACCTTAAAAGATTCTATGATTGTGTGATTCTGTCTCTGAAACTTTGTAGAGTACTTGATTTGAGGGTTAGGTTTGGGGGTTTTTAATGAGCAATTAAAATGGATAAGTATCCAAATTAGCTTTATTTACTAGATATTAGCATGTATATAAATGATACTGTATGAAATCTGTATTTATTTTCTTCTTCCAACTTTCCAGAGTGCCCAGTTCTACAAAGTTACCACGGAGCAGTACCAAAAAGCTGCTGATGAAGTGTCATCTCGGTACAAGTAAGTCTTCTCTCCAGTTATTTTTGAGCCTGGCACCTAATTGAGTTCTTATCCACATTAAATTGCAACACAGTTCCCCTTCCTCTTATTACAGATCTCATCAGTCTGTGCTGGTTGTTGAAATGAGAGAGTTTCGTAGATTTTGGAAGCCAGGGCATAGTATCCATAAGCTGCATAGAAATTAGATGTGTGGTTATTAGTATACTAATTAATTAATATTTGATAAGATGCATGAACTATTCAGAACATCCATTCCTTAACTTTATTTCTCTAATGGAGCACCAAAAATGTAGCTCCAGCTTTGCATTACAATAGTATTCACCCTCTGCTTGTATGATGTGAAAGATTTAAATGAGCAACTTCCCTTTGCCCTGAACAATGGTCAGAAGGTCAAATTAAATAAGTTTTATTAATGCTGAGGATAGTTAAATGAAGATACAGTAATTGATGGATCAAAGGGACTCTGACCCTTAGCCTTGGGCTCTTCCCTTTGTGCTGGTTCATCTGGTAGGCAGAAGGTTCCATTTATCATTTTAGTAAGGATACGGAGAGAAGTTTTTACAACCTTTTAGTCTTACAGTAACCAAAATCTGCTGTATAAAATGCATTATTCTGTGGAGATTTTTAGATTTATGGAGGGATTTTCTTCTGGTTTGTGTTTTGTTTTGGGTTTTGATGAGCAACAAAAGGCCCTTTTGAGCTGCTGATAATGACATCAATGAAGTTCTTAAGTGTAAGATAACTATTTTGTCTTTTAGCATCATGAATTGTTTAGTATTTTCTAGTGTATATATATAAAGTCTTTGCACTGGTTAATGGTGCAGAGTATACTGAGGACTGAATTTGCCTGTTCCTTGAACAAGAGGGACAGGGTGGTCATTGACTCGAGGTCTGATTTAAGCATAATTTGGAGGGTTTCCCATTCTGTATAAGAAGCCCAGTACGTTGTTACTTGCTGTCGTTCATATGATAAGGTTCCCATCAAGGGGGAATCTCCCCTTCCTCTCTTGCAGCGGGGCATTTTCAGGTGTTGAAATCTAGTTATTGCCTAATCTTGTTTTCATTATTCCAAAACAAGCTTTTCTTGTGATTTTAAGTACATGTTGATAGCTCTAAGTAGTTACTGTGCCAGATGGAAGAAATGGATTTGGGTTTGTTTTTTTCCCCCTAATGTATTAATGATTTGTTCAGTAAATCAGATACTTTGGGGTTCATATTTGCACAAATGGAGCTGGTTGATAAAGCAGGGGCCTCAGGCAATGTCTAAAAACTTTAAGAAAACCATTTTGAAGGATTTTTCAGTTTATCTGCATGAAGCAAAGAGTATTTACGGGTGAGGGATTTAGACAGGGAATCGGAGATTCCTAACACTTGATGAGATTGGTCTTTTCTTAATTTTCTAGAGATTAAAGGTATCAATAGAAATCACCTCTTTGACTAGTCTTTGCTATAATGCCATTACTGAAATTGCTGTGCTACTTTCGCACTTGAAGCTGAATTTCCTGACAAATTACTGGGAGCTTTTTGATTAGCTTTGGTCCATTGCCTTAAAAAAAAAAAAACAAGAGGAAAATGTAATGAAAAGAAAAAGGTACTTGAAGTATGTGCATAAATTGTGGGAGATTTGATAAAGTGCATGAAATATCGATACTACTTTATCATTTCAAAGTTTTCCTGATAGAAAACCCTTTGAAATGCCATGTCTTTTTATTGGAGGTTGCAATTCAGCAGATGTTATTTTATCGCTGCCTTTTGTACGTAACTTGACGGGTAAATGATGAATGATTTAGTGAGACCTAAAGATGATGCTCTTTTGGTGTCACCAGGCACTTCTCATGTTCAGTTTAATTGCATGTGAGGATTGAGGACAGAGTTTCAAGCACGGCTTGTTTAAAGAGCTGGTTTAATTGGCTGTAAAAGGGGAATTAAATAAGGTTGAACTGCTGAATTTTGTTAATGCATAAACCCATGTGCTGCGTGTCAGGGTGATTTCAGGTTCTAAGTGCGAGATTAATCGATCTAATTGTGGTATCGCTGAGAAACGGTCTCGCTTTAGTTCAAACATGGCGGGAATTAGTTGCGAAGTTTTATTGAGATCACTTGCATTTCTTCGACTGTTGAAGCCACATTTCTTTTCAAGAGCAAAGAGAAGTGGATAATTACTTAAATATTTCCTGGATTTTCCTCCCTCCATTTAGTCCCCGAAATTACATCAGCTGGGGCTTTATCAGTCTTTAGGGATAATTTGCTCCATTAAAATGGAAGAGAACAAATATCCCACATCAAGTTGTATCACAGAGCTTGGCAGGTCTTCTGTATTTTGTCTGCAGTCCTTATTGATGCCTGGTTATTACCTTTTCCAGCGCTGCCTGGATCAGACTGATATTCCAAAATATCCATGATAAACGATTTATCTCTGCGAGGGCCTGATTCACATTGATCAAATTCTGAATTATCAAATGGTTCATCTCTTTAAGACACTAATTCACATTGATCAAATCCTAAATGACCAGATTCAGTCAGTTCCTGCAGTACACAAATTGCATTAAACCAACATTACTAGAGCATGCTGCCTTTTCTAATGTAGGAGTTATGTTACCCGCGGTTACATTACAACCAGAATTATCATATTATGAAGATGTCTCTGTTCTAATGAGAAGTTTACACAAGAAGAAAAGAATGCGATATTACAGGAAGAGCTGGGCTTTGGGCAAAGAGCTGAACTTTTACTAATCAAATTGTGTGTTTCTATTGTGGGTTTTTGTCTTTAATTTGAAGGGCTGGGAGCGGGAAATTTGGCAGCTGCAGTGGCGATGTTTTATTCCCTCGTGATGTCTAGAGCCAAGGAACATCTTCATTATTCATTTAGGAATAGAGATGGGGCAAATTCAGCCTACAATCAATGTTTTTACTTTCTTTTCTGTGAGTCTTGGTTCTTACAGTAGAGAATAGACTTTGTAGCCGTGCACTAGTGCTAGTCATTCCTCTGCTCCTTCACTGCTCTCCCATAGACAGTGTGGAGTTGCTTCTTGCTGCTGTTTTCTTGATAAGAACATAGTTCCTGATAGACAATTCAAGTCCTCTTTGGGGACTGACTGCTCCTTTTGATGGTGTTTGTGCACGATAAATCAAGGGGGAGGTTTTTCCTGGTATTTCAGTGTGTCCCTTCAGTGTCACTTCCAAACTCCTGTGTCTGCAATGGAGCCAGATTTTGGATCTTGTGCATCATGACACAGGGTTTATATAGAACTGAATGGAATGGAGTAGATTGAAATAGAGTCAAATGGGATAGGGTAGGGTAGGTGTTGTGGTTTAAGCCCAGCTGGTAACTCAGAACAGCGCAGCTGCTCACTCACTCCCTCCATTCTTTCACCCCCTGCTCTAGGAGGGATGGGGAGGGGCATGAACAAATGTAGCTCCCATGGGTTGAGATAAGAGCAGTTTAGTAACTAAGTTATAACACAAATCACTACGGCTACCACCAATAATAATAATGATAAGGGAAATAACAAGGGAAGAGAATGCAACCGCTCACCACCCACCGACCGATACCCAGGCCGACCCAAGCAGTGATCTGGGCCTTCCAGGTAACTGCCCCCAGTTTATATACTGGGCATGACGTGCTGTGGTATGGAATACCTCTTTGGTCAGCTTGGGTCAGGTGTCCTGTCTCTGCTTCCTCCCGGCTTCCCCTCCTCCCTGGCACAGCATGAGGCTCACAAAGTCCTTGGTCAGAGTAAACATGACTGAGCAGTAACTAAAACCATCGGTGTTATCAGCACTGTTCCCAGGCTGAAAGTCAAAAACACAGCACTGCACCAGCTACTAAGAAGGAGAAAAATAAATGTTATTTTATGTTATTATGTATACAGCTGCACCCAGGACAAGTAGGGTAGGGTAGGGCGGACAATAGACTCCTGGATGAAATGATCCAGCGCTGACAGTTTTAATCATGCAGGATTCTTCGCATCATCTGGAAGCTTGGGTGTTTGTTTCTGAATTATGGATTTTGATGGCTTTATTCATCGAATCATAGAATCTTAGCTTGGTTTGGGTTGCAAGGGACCTTAAAGCTCATCCAGTTCCAACCGTGGCAGGGCCACCTTCCACTACAGCAGGTTGCTTGAGCACTGCCAGGAATGGGGCAGCCACAACTTCTCTGGGCACCCTGTGCCAGTGGCTCAGCACCCTCAAAGGAATGAACTTCATAAGATCCCATCTCAATTTCCCCAGTTTCATTCTCTTACTACGAGACTTTTTATCATGAACCCTGCATCAGGAGGAATGCCTTTTGGGAACTGGAGGAGCACCTTTGGTTTGGGCTTTGCTCAGGCTGCTTCACATGGTACAGTTTTCACACAGTTTGATGTTTTAAGAACAGTTTTGCAAGTCAAGTCAATATGGTTCACATTGTCCTCGATCTTTTCCATTGCTCTGCTCCCCGATGGAAGTCAGGGCTCAGTGATAGGCAAGCAACAGCTATTACAGCCTTGAAAGTGTGTTCAGTGGGGGTTTGATTCAGGATGTAGTCAACAGGAATAAAGGTCAGACCATCAGTTTCTTCCTTTAATTGGTGACTTCTGTATCACAAAGCTTGGTTTATTAACGTTTACTGGGAATAAAATTTAAAGCATGGTTATGTTTGATGCTTCAATGTCAACATAGAGAAATAAAAGGAGTTTAAGTTGTGTTTCACCTAAGATTCTTTTGGACTGGGAAGTGAAGCTGAGGAAGTTTGTAATGAGGCCACATAAAATGAGTAACAGTGACACTTGGGTCTTCAAATGTAATAATCTCACAAAGCAGAGATGCCAGTTTTCTGGACACCAAAAAACCCAAAAGGCTAAAGAGAAAATCAGGTTTTTATTGGCAACATTGGGCTGAGACCAGAGAAATGTGGGTTTATTTCACTGCTCTTGTTACGCTGCTGATGTTTGGCACATTTGGTGACTTTTAAGGCACCTCTGCACTATCTGTATATCAGGAATATTGGTAGTTTC